CCAGTACTGCTGGGGAGGAATTAATGCCTGTAGTGGAACTGATTTGTCACCCAGCACCCTTGTGCAGTGCAGCAAGGCTTCTGTCACGCTTTCTGTAGCAAAGGGGCCTGTCTTTGCCTTTTCGTAGTACTTGGGAGGACTCGGCAAGTGCCCAGGACACCCACATTTTTCACTTGAGACTACATTTTCAGTGTATTTAAAACTAGCTTCAAACTCCTGAGACAACCCTAGAAGTGTGAAATCTAAAGTGAAGGAGGTTTTTATTTTAAAAGTTTGCCTTCCTAGAATAAAATGAAAACTCAGAGAAAAGATGAGTGGCAGTTTGTAATGCACAGGGTTTTCAAAGAGGAGTGCAACTACTTACCAGTGCAGTCTCTGAGTCCTCACCCAGCGATGAGTCTGATAAACCCATTCTGCCTCATACTTAGTGCAGCTGAACCTCTTCTCAATTCCTGCAATGTTGTGTTCTCTGTTTACTCTCCTGGTCCAAAAATACTCAATACAGTTGAAATGTTAAATGTTCCATCCAGTTAAAAATCAGTTCAGTAACAACAAGCACCTGGTTATTTCTGTGCTTCTCCCCCAGATCAGACATCCAGACTCAGACTTTCCAGTTAATTACTGTATCCTGTATTGCCTTGATGTTTGGACCACTTTGTCTCTTCCATCTTAATATATAATGAAATGAATTGTGTTGGTTACTGATCTCAGTTCACATGGCAACACATTTACTACAGAGAACAGACTTTAAAAAATAATAAATGGTTCAGCTGCTTATCAGACTTGGGAATTTGCAGCTCTATTAAAATTAGGGTTTAACTTTAGTGCCAATAATAAAACAATGAAGTGCTTTTGTCCACTGTCTTACGTTCATACAATCACAAGTAGCACACTACAGCTTGACCCCTAAAAAATCAAAGTGATCCAAACCCCTCAAGCCTTTTTGTATTCCAACAGGGAAATGTCTTGCTTCTCTGTGACCACTGCTCTTCACAGGGCCTGGCTGAGGAGCAGAAGAAAATACAGGGGAGTCAGTCAGGTACTGGTGCTTTTCACCCTCCCTTTGCCAGGCCACAGCATCGTTAAAACTACAGGCAGCTGAGTGGAGGAGTCAAAGCCCACTGCCAGTAATTTCTGAAATACAATTAAATCTGCTTTACCTCACCAGTGTAGCTCATATTATACTGACGTTGGCCTCTGTAAAATTACTTGGAATGGGTGTTGTCTGACTGTAACTCCCCCATGTGTCTAGTAAAGCTTTCCTTTTTTCCAGCTGGAAAAAAAAATGTGACAGTGCATCACAGCTGACCTGAGAGTTTGCTTTCTACAATATGGCTCTTACCTCAGCAGTTGTAAACCCCCAAAACTGGCTGGGAGACTTGAAATGAACAGATTGTAAAAATATTTAAAACTGAAACACACAGAGCGAAAGTTTCCGTGTGAGTTACGAGAAGGTTAATCCAGCTCCAGATATCCAAATACATGTTGATCAGCTTGTCCTGTGCTCACTTAAATGTGCAAAGGAACAACCTCCTCCTGCCCCAAAAGCTGGCTTCCACTTCTGTTAAATGGAATCGGTGCTTTCTTAAATTAAAAACTGGCAAATCTGTGGGTTGGGTGTAGTTTTAAAATGTTCAAGTTTGCATCCAGGTAATAATTTTTTGTCATTTAACATACTTACTTATTTGAGGACTTTGGTCCTTACTTTATGCAGTTTTATGGTTTTATGTAACAAACGCACATGTGCACACACAGAAACTCCTCTACTATAGCTACTTCTGCAGGTAATTCGCTGTTGCTGTGATGAAACCTTTCTCTTCTGAGAATGGAGAAAGCACTGTAAGCCACTCGTGGCATGGATCTGAATGACTTTTCCAGCTTGAGTCCGAATTTGATTGTGTGCTTCAGACCAACAGATGCTTTACAAGCCAGCTAGCTCCCAAGTGACTTCACATCTGGGGACTTCCTTTTCAGATGTTACAGTTTGGCTGCAGCAATGAGTGACTGGATTGGAAATGCTGCCTGCAGCAAGCTCTCTGTCATCCTGCCATCCTCTCTCAGGTACCAGCAGTTCTTCTCAAGTCCCTCTTGGCCAATGTTGCTGCTCCATTCTCCAGCACAGGAAGCAGCACAGAAAATAAACCAAGAGTTGGAGGCAAAGCCCGGAACTTCTCAAGCACTGCACAGAGCAGCTTGATTTTAAGTTTCCCTGTCACACAGGACAGGCTGACCAGGAACCTGTGGACACACATAGTCAAACCACAAAACACACCACAGCTTAAGGTACTAAGTCCTTCAAGTTTCTTTAAGGTACTAAGTCAAGTCCTTCAGGTTTCAACATCCAAGAGAATACTTTTCCCAGAATACCCTAAAGCAGCCTACAGAGGATGTTTGGGTTTTTTTCCTGAATGGAGGAAGATGAACCTCAAACTTGTTTGTATTTGGAATGACCTTTCTACACAATCAAGAAATTAAAACTGAGTAAAAAAAATTGTGTGACAAATGCTGAAAGGAGATGTGTAAGTGAAACCAATTTCAGACAAAAATAAATTTATTGAAAATCTCATACAGTAGAATTCCTTCATTGCACAAATCAAAGTATTAATCATGTTGATAGCTACTGGAGAATACATTACTTAATTAAAAAACTCTCTGTAATGTTGAGGTGGGGAACCTCAAAAAGTAAGCTACATTGGAACTAGGTATCATATAGCTTATGCAGCCACAGGAGAAATGTTTTGTGCTGCTTTGTTATTACACAGGTAGTTGGTTCTATCAGCTAAAGCCTAGTGACTGGATTTGTTTTATGCATATTGGGTTTTGTTCTATTACTTTCCAAGAGATTGTGCTCCCCTGAGTCAGCTGTGTTCATTGGTCAGAATAAATTCCAGCATCTGACGCTATTTCCATTAATCACAGACAAGCCAGCGTACGTGAGCAAGATAATAGAAAGATAAAAACAATATCTGGTGACTAGGAAACATCATTTATGTATGCTATTCACTAATGCAGGAGAAGGGATCTGGAAGGCATTTTTTACCTTTGACAGGACAACCTGAAAGAGAAGATGGGCATCGTAAGTACTGACTCCACTGGGAAGAAAGTGTCTGGAACGGCACAGATCACGTGCACACCTTGATAACACCTCTACAGCCCATCATTGCTACGGTATGCGACAGTCACAGCTTCCCCATGCATCTGCAAGTCATTCTGAGATAATCTGCTACTCAACAGCTGTGAAATTAATTTTTATTACACCGATCTTAAGCTGGACCTGTGAAGTTGAATGCTTCACCCACCCACACATCAGTAAATAATGTATTTAGTAAAATGTCTTCCTGCCCCTTACAAGTTAGGTATCACGGATCTGAAATACACAGCTTTTTCCTTTGATGCACTGAGCAGTCAAGGCATTTCACTTAACCCTGTTGTATTAAGCCAGATGCAAAGCTGAGCAGTTAAAAAAAACCACAACAACAAAAAATCCCATAAATTGTATTTGTGTACCTCAGACATCCATAATCTATAAAGCAGATACTTGCAATTCAAATAACTCTAGTTATTTAGTGGCATACTAAAGATACCACAGAAATACTTCTTATGTACATCAACAATGCTACACCACCTACTCTGATTAAATTAAGGCTTTGTTTCTTTACTAAAATAGAAGTTAGTAGCCTTCAGCACCACCCAGAGTCAAGGTTCTGGTGCTGTGCAGAGGAGGCACAGTGAGGACAACTGCACTGTGAACAGGATGATTCTGTGGCAGGCACCACTGTGTGCAGAATTAAGTCTGTTTCCTACAGCGTGAACTGAAGGAAACGAGCTCAACATCCAGGATTCACAGTGTTACGTGTGATCCTTTATCATTCATAATAAGGCCCAAAATGGTGCAATCTAAACAACAGCCTAGGAGCGATTTTTCTTTTGCCACTATCTAATACAACTCAAGATTTTGGAGGGGGAAAAAAAAAAGTCTCACCTTTCTTGGTTAAAAATTACATAAAAATGCATTTCTAAAGCAGAGGAATCAGAAAGTTAATTGAAAGGAGGAAGGGAGAGAGAATCCAATTCTTCATTTTATGTCTTACCCTGAAAAAAAACCACTGTCAAAAATAAACTGAGAGCTGTTACAGGTTTTAACACAGGATACCAAATATTTTCTTGATAAAATACAAATAGCAAACAAATACAGAACTGGATTATTCTGTTTTATTTCAAGAACTCACTTTTCTCAGTGTAATCTTTTGCAAATGTACGCCATTTGCAGTACAAGACTATCTAGGCCCCATGCCAGATTTCTTTATATTTACATACCAGCACAGCTTTAACTTCAAGGAACTTGCTCTGATTTACAGCAGAGGAAGACTAGGCTTTCTTTTTTGGAACTAGAATTAAAGAACATTTCAGGCAATTTGTTTGCCCTCTTCAAAAGTTCAAGCATTAAGGTGCCTATTCAGAACCATTCTAAAAATGCCTCAGTTCATTCTAAAAATGGTTTTAACTCTTGTGCAGACAGTTTTGATTACACTGATCCAGGTAATCTGCTGGAGAGTTTAACAAAGTTGATTTACTTTTTATTTCCCAAAACACATTCTCATTAGGCTTTGGAGGACTTGGGAATACCCAGGAATTATCTTCCAGAGAGCTCTTTCCATACAAATGTTGTTCCTGAAACATTTTGCCATCAGCTGGAATGGGTCTCTCATCTGTCCATGCTTGCAGAGTCATCCTTTCAGGGGGGATTTTTACATCTCTTGGCCGAGAGGGAGACACGGCATTGCAGACCACTTCATCATTTTGTGAGAGTTTTTTATAAACTACCCCCGATGTCAAATTCGGCTTTGAAATGTTCAAGTCAACACACTGTACTGGTGCAGTAAAGGCAGCTGAAGAAAGAAGATAAAAGGAAGGTTTTAAAATTACATTATCTAATGCATTTTTCATATACTCCAAGTCTATTACTGTATAGCCGGTACATTAAACCCAGTGTTTTCAAGCTGCAGATTTTCAGACTGTATTTTACTTCAGCAACTACTGAAAAGTTACAAACTGAACATCCTAACCTCCTCAGTCTGATTTAGCAAGATGGAAGAGAGATCCTGAAATCTCAGTGTCTAAAATACACCCAACACCAAGGAAACCTCCCAGTTCCCACTTGAACACAAATAAACCCGATTGATTAATCTTTTTGGCATGTCTGGAATGAATGCTGAAACAGAGAGGATTTGCATGCACTGGCAGAAATCAACCAGATTCAGACACTGCTTACACAGAGCACGCTGCTTCCTACTCTCCTGATTCTCTTAACAAATTGTGCTCTCAGGCTGCCAAGAACCCGAATTCTTATTGTCCATGAAGCAGCAAGAAGGAAATGCACAGTGTTCACAGGTTCTCTGTGCTCTGCTATTGTCTGACTTCTGAAAGTAAACTGACAGACTGCAATGTTCAGCCATCTGAAATTCCAGGGAATTTTAAAACCATGCTAGGAATGGGAGGATTTGGAAACAGAACAGCATCTACCTGAAACAAAAGAGCTGTAATTTACATACAGTAATGTAGTGATTCCTGCAGTTAAGGAACCTCACGTCTTACAGGTGGTTTTCTAGAACAGCTATGAATCTCCAGTACAAACTGTGATTTGTAACTTGAGTTCTTAAGGGACAGAAAGAGGAGCCATTATCTTGGTCATAGAATACAACTTCCATTTGTCACTGAAAATTAAAAAGCAGGACCCAATTTGCAAATGTCAGCCAAAAGCACCTTCCAGTAGCACAGGCATCATATCTGAAAGACATGCTAAGGAACTGGATTTGGCCTCTTTGTGCTGACAGGTCTACAGGCCTTTGGAACTTGAAGAAAAGCGGAATATACTGAAGATGGATTGAAAATGCACGAAAAACCCCACGAGCAGACACACATTTCTTGAAAGCGCCTGCATACTTCAACAACAGCTGAGTAGAATCCACATGTTAACTGATACTGTCAGCAACAGACACCGCAACCAGTACATCGTGTCCTGCAGACTTTATGCACCTCAGAGTGGCAACTGGTTTGTATGTGGTAAAACAGCTAGTTCTAAAGGTATAGGAAGCAGAAGTCTTCAGTCAATTCTAGCCCATATTTTGCATAAACCAAGATTTTTCTATAAATGTAAGCACAGATGTATCTGCATTATATTTGTAAGTGTGGTTGACAAGCAAGGTAAACAAACAAACAAACAAACAAACAAAAACACAGTTTTCATTTCTGCCAAACCTGTCCGCTCTTGCATACTTCTGAAAAATTACTGGAAAAAAGCCTACAGAGCAAAAGGCAAAAGATCCATTGTTTCCCAATCAATCAATAAAGCCTTTTATAGCACTGGAACTGGAGAAAATCTGACTGTTCACCAGGTAGGAGAAGAGAAAAAAAATTAGTACTTGTGTAGTGGCAAGACAAGTAACTCCAAATTAAGAATGAGGTCAGGAAGATACTAAATGATCACATCAAACCTTGACAGATTTAAGGATTAAAAACTCATTCAGTTCCCAGTTTCTCTGTTGAAGTTATTTGACAAATGTGTCTTAGAACTGTAGGAACGTCGACTCACCTGGTAACAATATGACCACGTCTACAAAATGTGTTGATAGTTTATCAGCCAAGTACCAGAGTGATCATTAATCACTGCTGACCACAGACAAAGGCAGTGACTGACCTGGAGGTAAATCCTATCATTATCTCACCGAGCCAATCAAAGCTGTTTAGAAACAAAATGTCTTGATTTTCTACTGGATAGGGACATCTGAGACTGTCACCAGCATAAGGTAACCAGTCTTTCACTAGCATCTTCTGTATTCTGAACACAGGAAACACCACAACTGAAGTGAGCAGAAAACAAAGGAAACAAACACTGTCAGACTGATAGTCCGGCCCCACCTGAATACAAATGCTCTCTCATAAAGCATCTGGCTTGAGAGAAACATGTATGGAATGGAGGAACCACCTGATGAACTGCTCACAGAAATTATACATACTTTATGTGGAAACTATTTTCCCCTTAATTATTTGCAAAGTAGCAGCAGAAACAGGGCAGTTTTGCATCCTCAGGATCTGACATTCAGAAAATGTCATCTTGCCTAGCATTTTGCTAGAAAAGACAACTTTTCTGAATGCCAACATAAAGAAATCTGCAGCCATAAGGGAATTTCAGTCTGTTAAAGTCTGACTTTCAAAATGTTGCCCAATTAATATGTTATATATTCAATACTGGGAAAATAAGTCTGTGTTTGCAAAAAGATGGGTTTTTTTCTCCCCTAATATGAAGTAGTTATGGTAAAAGGTCAAATACAAGTAAACTTAACACCTCAGCCTTGTGCACATAAGCAACACTTGACTGAGAAAAAAGCCACAAGGGGAACAGAATACAGTACTGAAGAAAAAACACATCAGCAACACCTTTATGTGTGAAGTTGACCAGTATGAGACAGAAGCAAAAGCACAAAACGAGTAGGCTGGAACCATAATATAGTCCAGCTTATCAGCTTCAATGGATGAGATGCTGATAAGATAGCTAGTTTCTTTTTAAAGTGGTACAGCTTGAATGAGGGTTGGTGTTTGTAAGGTCTGCTGTTGCAAACACTGACTTGCCTTTCTTGGGTGCTGGTGGGTTTGTTTTCAGTTTTCTCAGGATCTCAGTTTGCACAGCAGTCACCAGGCGCAAGTTCGACATTTCTCTCTTCAGTTCCTGATATGCTTGCTGCACACTTTCAAAACAGAATTTTTTTAAGAGTTAAATAATTGCCACCTCTAAAGCACCCTCCTGCCCATTAACAGGCTTATCAAACACTAACTGTTAATAAACAGTTTTTGCCTGATACAGACTATGGCTTTTACTAAAGTCCATAATTCAAAATGAACTGAGCAGTACTGATAATTATCTTAAACTGACAGACATTTCTGTATTTTATTTGACTTTTGTGTATTACAATATATAATGTGTTATATATTAACATACTAGATGATACTAATGAATTCAAGTTCCCCAAATGGAAAGAAGTACGAAGCATACTCTCCAATTTCATTATTTGAAACTAACCATCTTAACATCAAATTAGTAATCTCTCAGGAATACTTAAAAAATATATATATATATATTAAATGGACACTAAAGTGCAAACAAGGCAGAGTATTGACTTTGAACAGCTTCTGATAAATGACCACACACACCACCATATGTTATGAACCTTATAGTAATGTTAATTGATCATAGTTTTAAATATTCAACCAAAATCAGTATTTGGATCTTTACATTATTAATTTTGCTAGAATTAATTTGGACAAGATACCCGAGATCCAAACTGAGCACCCACACATAGACCAAACTGAGATATAAAACGTACTGGTTCATATCCAGGTCATCTAATTTACGTTAATACACTGCCTTATCACACAGTCTAAAAAATAGCGACCCAATTAATTCTCTGTAAGACAGAATAATACGAGAAACATTTAGCAACAGCAGCACTGTTCCAACATTGATGTCTTGGGTTAATAGCTGTTAAGAAAACCAAGAACAAAAAGAAGTCAGTATCACCATACGTTTCTTGGTAAAATTCTGAGCAAAGGCTGACTGAACACTACGTTTATATTGAGTAATAATTAACTTTGAAGTGTTCAAAGACATAAGGATGCAGCTACTTCAACTTAAACATGAAATCAGTGATTTAATGGGTTTTTTTCAATGCTTAACATTCTACCAAAACACACCAGGGGAAATGGCAGGAAGATGTGCCAGGGGAGGTTTAGGTTGGACATGAGGAAAAGGCTCTTCACCCAGAGAGTGGTGGAGCACTGGAACAGGCTCCCCAGGGAGGTGGTCATGGCACCAAGGCTGACAATATTCAAGAAGCATCTGGACAACGCCCTCAGACACATGGTCTGAATCTTGGGATTGTCCTGTGCTAGGGCAGGAGGTGGACTTGATGATCCTCCTGGGTCCCTTGCAACTCACAACATTCTGTGATTTATTGAGAACAAGTACTATGGGTAAGAGTTTTCAGAGTATTTCTGTCTTCCTCACTATATTCACCTAAAAGATGTTTATTTGAAAATAGTTCAGTACCTCAAACTATTGCTGAAATGACTAAGAACTATCAAGCTATACAACAACTGTATTTTCAAACATGCATATATACAGATTTCTGTCCCTCTGAAATACCAATCTGGGAGCACTCCTGCATGAAATTTATCAGCCATGAGTGTGTTCAAAAGCACTCCAAGAAACAGCTATTATTCTTTTCTGCAAGTTAATGCTAAACCAAAGAAATTAAACTTTCTTCTGTGCAAAGAAGTATTTCCCCAGAATAAAAAAAGCTCAGATTCAAAAACTCTGTTAAGGAAGCTGATAGTTTAATGTATTAGGTATCAGCAACTGTGATAGATGGAAAGTTAAACTTTTCCGAGCTGGTATTTCAAGAAGTTCAGCTAAACCTGTGGCCTTTTTACTGCAGAATCCATTTGGCTCTTTGACTTTTAAGAGATGACAATTTTAAAATTAAGTTGATGTGGCAACTACACTTCATTTATTCACGTGTTTTGGTCTCAAAAACAAGATCAAAATTTAGTTATATCAAACCAGAACTGTCCAACATTTAAATACATTTTTATATAGAAGGGTAAATATAAGAACAGCTTGGTGTCTGCCACCAGTCAGAAGGAAAGTGCTTAGATAAACGTTGTCATGTGCATTTAGTGCTTTTAAAAGCATCTTGCAAGGGGACGCAGGTACCACAACTCCACTTAAATCACACGTAATGTATTTTAATCTGGTTTTGTGGATACTGACCTACAATTCCATTGCAAAGTCTGATTTTCAAGGAATTTGCAATTGAAAACCAAGGATTCCATGTGCTTGGAAGTTCATCCTATACTATTTTCTAACATGTAACATAAACTTTGAATATAAATCTACAGCAAAGAAGATATGCAAACCAAGAATTTAAAGTCAGAGTTGCAGGATGCTGACAAATATGTGAAATAATTACTTTCCAAAAAGTTCATTCACTAACTGCAAATGCCTCCACCTCCCATAAACAGGATTGCTTGCTACAACAAATGTTTTGCATTGGAAGATTTTCAGGTGTTTTTCCAGAGATTTTTTGATAGGCTTACATATTCAGTACACATTGCACATTCATTATTTATGTCATATTACAATAAACACTGTACTATACATATGCTAATTTAGATGTTTACCACCTGAACATCACTTTGTGGAATAAATCTGCTCTGGAAGATCAAAGAGATAACTGCTTTACCTTGAGATAACACCTTTTTTCAGGCGTGTAAGACTGACTATGAAGCTGCAGCAGAAACCACAAGAAAATACTGTTAGCTAGCTATCCAGTCAAGGTGAAAGTGTAATTTGTGCGTATTATTATCATAATTACACCAGAAAGTATATGAAAGGAAGTATCTGTGCTGTTCTCATTGACTGATTTCCTTTCCTATGTCTTCAACAGCCAAGGAAGCAACAAGATCTTAGGCTGTCATTATGAAGGACCACTCCTCCCTCTTGTGGAAAACCGTGTAAGTACACAAATAGGCCTAAGAAGGTGTAAGAGATGCCGTTAGCATTTCATTTTTGTGAGACAGAACATTTGGGAACTTCCATGCATTCATGAGCTGTTCTTTTTGCATAAAGAATTAAAGGATATATGTACTTTCTAATAGGGCACACATACTCAAGACAGGATAACAGAGGAGCTTGTATCATAAGCACAATTATTATTTGAACAGCTGCTTTCTGATATGTTAGCATTTTTCTGGAGAATTGCTGTTTGGTTTTGAATAGGTTACACAATGGCTTCTCAATAGAAAAAAAAAAAAATCAGTGTAAGTGTCTTCCTGTAGAAATATTATTGCACTCTGCACTAAGTCAGAACGTATGTTCCAACGCGATGCAAGACACTCGAAGCCATCACCTATGCAAACACAGACACCTCCCCATATGCAAAATGAAGATATTCTATAGCTGGGGTGAGCCTTGGAAATTTATCTATTACCTCCCTAAGTAAACTAATTACTAAAAAATCTCATTTTTAAATCCAAGATAATTTAACTTCCATTTTCTGTACAACAATCTGAAGATGTAAATGTTTTCTTATCATCATAACGATCCTGGACCACCAACATATCAAAGAAAAAAAAATTACTGTTATCTTGCTTGAAATGAGATGATGTAATTTGAAATAACAGTTTTGAACAGGCCACAATAATATTGACTTGTTCAAATAACTGTCCATCAATACAGTAAGAGTAAAACATGAAAGACACTTGATTTTCATACCTCTGAATGTCTTGCCATTGAAGGAGGTCTCCATTTAATCGATGTTCGTCTTGATCCTGGTCCTGCATAACAGAGTCAGGGGAACACAGGGAAGGAATGAACATATGATTTTAGATCTTATATCTAAAAATACTGCAGTGAAACTACAAGCTTGCTAATATTAAAATCCAGAAGTAGTCTTCATTTCTGTTAGCTGCAGTGGTTGTCAAAATGGACATAAAGACTTCTACTAAGAATTTCCTTAAAAATGCTTAAATTACCTACTTATATCAAAGCACTGATCACCCACCATTACACTTTAAAAAAAAGCTGAGCTCTTGGAATTCATGATTCTTTGAGAAGCAAAAGTTGAGAAAGGCTTTTGAATGCCATTAAAAAAACATAATCAGTCTTCTCTTGTTCTTTCCCTGCTCCAGTATATAAAGATCTTTAAATCAGAGAAAACTATTTCAGTATAGATTTACTTCCAGAAGTTCCTTTTAAGACAGAACATAAGCTATCCCTGGAGTCTGCAAGACTGCTTTAAATTGTACATACAAGCAGCCTCACTGAAGTTAACAGGATTGTTTAACAAAACAAACACTGGGCTCCCCTAGTTTGCTCTGTTTCTATTAGACCCTCACCTGTGATGAGTTCCCATTAAATTAAAAACAGGAATAATGAAAATACCAGCTGGGTTTGAAACAACGCTGACCTGTCATTGCCCATCCATCACATTTCACTGTATTCCACCTGACAATTTTTCCCCCTCCTGAAGACTTTCGCACCACCACCCATCAGAGATTCAATTTCAGAGTTAAAAAACCCAACCAGTTGTACCATATTACCCCACATTTGAAAACTTTTACCTTTTTATTTCCTATATTAAGCAGTTACTAGGATCAAGAAGAAAGTATATTTTTTTAAAAAAAAGAAAAAGAAAAAAGCTGTTCCTTATATTTCTTCTTTGCAACAAAAGCTGCTGATGTAAGCGTTATTTGAACAGTGTCATGTCTAGGATTTCTTACAAGTGCTATTTTAGTCTGTTCTTTCTACCAACATTCATTCTCACAATACAATCTGCAACCTTCAATTATTTAATTATTTATATAGCTGCTCCTGTGTTCTATAGAGCCACCTGAACACCAAAATCGCATACAAGTTACAGTATGCCTTCAGAATTTACAAGTTATTGAAAACACCTAAAGGAATTCCAGATACAAGTGAAAACACCAACCAATAGTAATGGAAGGTAACTGAACACCTCACACACCTTCCAGGTACCATGTTTTATCCCCACCTAGTGGGAAAAAACAGACTGAGCCTGAGACAGGCAATCGGTGCACACGAGCCTGTCTGTGTAAACTAGGAACAGAGAGACACACTCAGTGCCAAGACCCCCACAGCTCAGCTGTATGTGCTTTGTGGGCAGCAGGGGAGAAGGACTTTACTTCAGTCTAGCTCTAGCCTGGTCCCTGAATGGCCAGGAGAGGTTGGGGTGCCTCTTCTTAGTTTCATCCAAAAGGAATCCAGTTCTCATCCTCCTGACTGCTCTATAATGCAAGGCCCAGTAGACAGTGGTGATGTGCTGCAAAAGTACATTTCTGTAGTAATGTCGGTGCACCCGTAAGAAAAAGAGACAAACATTTCCTAATTAAATCCAAATCCCGTTTGAAGGCAAGATTGATGGCCACACAAGGATTCCATCTGAGACTTTAACATACACTGAATATTGGCTCACTCAAATATTATGTCACTCAAGATAACATAATCATAATTATTAATGACAATAATAAACCTAAAATAGGCTGCCTCTTCAAACATTCACATTTACAGCCTTTAAATTAGTTGCTGTAACTTCACTGTGACTGTAGAGTCCTAGAGACTGCCAGTGTACCTTTTACCATGTAAAGCAGTATGTGTGCACTAGACTTTTTTTTTTTAAACTTAATGCATTTTATTACTGTTAAGGTATCTTAATTTCCTTTTTGACATCCTATCCACATCTATGTTACACAGTGAGTGTGTCCCTCACAACAGACACGTGCCTCAGACTGAAGGAGATATAGCAAGATTCTGGAAACTTTGTTATGAAAATCCACTTCCCTGACAAGCTGCATGCAACTACCCCGAAGAAAAGTGCTAGAGCTCCTTAAACAAAGGTCGTGTTATCTTTTTAACATAAGCATTCTATTGTTTTAAAAGAAAAAAAAAACAAACCAACAACGAAAGAAACAAAAAAACAAACCAGGTTTTGCCCAAACTTTCTAAGAAGTGCAGCCCAGGACAGATACCAGCGCAGGACACTGCGATCTGATCGGCTACTCATAAGAAATTTTAAAGCTTTATTTTCTGTTGTTACATGGGCAGCTGCTGGGAAAACTCACCTATGTAAGTGCACTATTTCCAAGAAACAAGCCAGTCTGTAAGAATATTTCAGGTTAATTTTACTGGGATGTTAATCTTTTACTCAATTAAGTACTGTCTGTCTCTTTGTTTGCCCTTTATTTTGCTTGAACAAGGGATTTAAAATAATGCTATAAACCAGTCAAATCTAATAATACAGAAATTCCTTAAAAATAGAGGTACCTTCTGCTTGGATTTTTCCAACTCCTTTCTGAGACTGTTGCACTCTTGCTTGAGCTTTTCTAGGTCCTGTTCCAGACTATGCACTTTCAGGTCACTGCTCAGCTTCTCTAGTTCCCAACTGGACTGAGTACAATTCAGATTTTTCATCACTATAAGAAGACAAGCAAGACAATCAGATTTCAATCTCAGATCAAGAAATGTAACTCAGTATGTAAGGTTTCACCTCAACCAGCCCATGCTCTACAAAAAAGTTAGCCTGAAGAAACTGCAGTCTCTGACAACAGAGAAATAGTAACAACAGTAAGGTTGTTGGCAGAGAATTAGTCTGTTTTCTGAGTTTAAAGTACAGAGCCCTGCTTTCCAATAATGCACCAGAGATTTTACATAAAGAAAAAGGAAGTCAGAGCATAAAAAGGCACTGGAAACATAAACATCTGTTAATGGCAAACATGCATAATATGTACACCAACTTGCATACTTCTTACATGCTTTGAAAACATGAGCCTTTTCCCCTTCACATTTCTATCATTACATAATTTACTGTAAGCTTTTCCCAAGTTTAATATTAAGAAGTTCCAAACAGAACTACAAAAGATGCAATCAAAACAAAAAGGTAAAGTCTAGAGGTTATATAACCCTTCTTATTAGACAGCATAAATTCACAGTCGCTGGTAAGAAGGAACCTAAGACAATCTTGGCATCAAATCAGTGGTAGGACGCTAGTTAGACAGTAAGAAATGAAAGAACATGGCAGGAAGAAAACTCCCAAGTCTTCAGCTATATGGTACACTCACCTCTAGATCTAACAATTTAAACAAGCTTAAGCTACACTGATTTTTCTTAAATGGGTACTCAGAGCCCACTTAGGAGTAAAATTGATTACTAAATAAGACTTGAAATCACCACATTTTCAGAGCTCTCTTTATAAACTCTGCACTTCTTACCTCCTTAAACCATGATGTCCCCAACAATGATACTACTACTACATGTGGTTTGTTCTAGGTTTAAAAACTTGAGCAACTGAAGTAGTGCTCTATATGCTTGAGGTCCTCTTGGAAAGCAATCCAACTCAAGTACAGCAATACTTATAAGCACTCTTCCAATGAGTGCATTTGTACAGAATCTGAAGCCCAACCCGTATCTCTAACTTTACATAGATGGCATCTTCTTGTTCTCTTTTCTTGTACATTAATAAAGATTATTTTTTTTCTTCCACAGTGTTTTATTTGAGGTACCTATAATCTACAGAGCACTCTTTACAATAGCAGTAACAGAAGGTGGATTTGGGCTTTTGGAAGTGCCAGGATACACTGTCTGTTCCCCCTTCCTCTTTCCACCAGGCTCTCTATAACAAGTATCTTTCTACCTTTCCTCATCTCCCAGCCCTTCAAGTAACTGTTGTTGACTGCAGCTATTGCTATACATCATCCTCTTGTACCTGTCATATCTCAACAGCAGGACAAAGCTGTTGAGATATTGGATCATCTGCAGGTACCAGAGGAAGTGGTATTGACTGGATAGCGTTTGATACTTGAACAAGTATGTCCCTGTCCCACTCTGAGGAAATGGTGGTGGGGTCCAGAGATGTACAGGTTGTGCACATTTCTCAAATTATTAAATAATCTACGGTGGAAGAACACAACAGCCTCAGATCTTTACCATGGAGCTCCTCACCTATGATAATCTAACATGCAATGTCACCACTTACAAGAATGAACACACAGACGAGCTCAAAGCACCTCAGTGCAGTACACTACTCTCTTAGCAGCCATTATATGGGGTTAAACCTCTTCATGCCCTCAGATCATAATATAACCACTAAAGACTAGTCAACAAACATCAAGATGAAGTAACCAAATGCATACCTTGTTGAGTTTCCACTTCAGTTCTTAGTTGTAACAGCTCTACTTCTTTAGACTGCAACTGTTCATTCAAGGTTTTCAAGGATTCTGCACTTTCTTTCATCTATTTTCAGGGTGAAGAAAAAAAAAACAACAAAAAACCAAACCCAAAACCATTTGTGAAGCTTTTTTTTATCATGTCTGGCAATTCCACAAAACAAAACAAAAAAAGTATTGCTTTGATTATTTTTCTTTAGCATTAGCCTAGCCCAGTAATAAAACTGAAATACTTAAAATTGTTATTTCTACATAAAGTCTCGTCGTGTACTTTAAGAACCTAAAGGAACCATAAAACAAACCCCACAGATCTTCAGCAAATAAAATTCATTCTACAGTAAACATTTACGAAGTGGGCAGTACTTAATATAACATGTATTTAAGTCACTAGTTCAAGAGGCATACCAATCTATCCAGTTTGCTTCTCAGATTATCTCGGTCGATGCAGGCCTCTCGATAGGCTTGGTACGCCTTATTGACTTGTTCCCGTCCAACGGAACTGCATTCCTCTTCCAGTCGTGAGCCGAGCAGCTACGAGTGTAACAGACATGAGAAACAGGATGTTTGGTATGTTATATTGAGAACTGCAAAATTTTAAAGGTGCAGTAGTACAGCCTGCAACATTAAACTAACAGCATTTTTTTCAGTGTAGAAAATAAGTTAATGAAATACATTGATACAGACCAAAATTTTTTACAAAAGTGCAACAAAGGCCGTGTACAAATTCTGCAATCTCTACCCATACTTAATGCTCACTAGTTTACTGCTACGAGTATTTAAAAACTATCCAAAAGTCATGATTACTCACACTGACAATGCCTTAATCGTATTTCTTCCAGGCTCTGAAAATGTACAAACTGCTTCTTGGAAGAAGAGTTTTATGCATATAAAGACACAATATATAGAAAATTCAGAGGAAAACAGATATATATATCTATATATATAGAGAGAGATATATATATTTAAAGGTTCATAATTTAAACAAAGATTTTTTAAGTGTATTTATGTGAGAAAAGCTAAAGCATATTATTTTACAAATAACTATTAACTTCCAGGTCACCACTATCCCATTGCCTGCTAAGGCAAAAGACAAGCAAGGGGTATAAGCACTAACAACTAGGTTGTAAAAAGAGAGGAGCAGAGTTAAAATATATTCAGTATTTTTAATAAGACAGCAGAAGAGAAGACTTGTATCAAATTGCACCTGTTCACATAGAAAGTTCTTGTTTTGACTAAGTATTGCATTATCTTTTTCACTCTGTTTATCCCACACACTTGCTTTAAATTAGCGAGGGATTTAAACACATTCAGTGTACTTAATGTAGATACTTGCACCAGATTTATATACATTTTTAAAAAAATTAAGAACCACACACACAAAAAAAAAAATGACAAAAAAATCAAAGAGGTGACAGTTATGCATCTACCTTAAATATCTCCTCTTTTAGGTGTTCACTAGAAAGCAAGCATGGGCAATTAAGCCATAGATAGGAAGCTTCTGCCCTTTGCTTTTCGTACTGACCATCAAAGTATGTGTACTACTCATTTCAAGTTGTGTCCTTTATATTTTTCTCCCCCGAATAAAGCCATTCAGCTAGAACATAAGCCTTACCAAACCTTCTGGCCTTCTGGAAGCTTCCATACACTTTGAAATGTAAAACTTCAAGGGGTAACTCGCCGTGTATTTGTTACCATATAGGCATACCAGCCATTAACAAAGGGTGAAAGTCAGTTCTGTTACTTAACAGTCTAGGCCTGCTCAACGCCCCCCTCTCATAGAAACGGTTTTATGGTATTCACATCCTAAAATAAAAGTTTTCTCTATGGAAAACAAAGCATCACCTTCCAGATGATTAAGCTGAACCAGGCCAAGCCAAAAGACACAAGACTAAAAGGGTTTGTCAAGGTCAAGTCCTGTTCATTCTGATTTTGAGTAACCACATTAAGGGTGTTACACTCAGCGTGGTTCAGAGAATAGTCAGTCTAGAGCTCTATTCCTATCCCGATCACCCACACGGGACCTTATATAAAGAAAGAGCTTACAAAGTTTTGCCTTTTGACAGAAAGCCAATCCTGTCAGCCTAGTCACCAAGAATTCCTGAATAAGTGTTTCAAAACTGTACTGAGTGTGACTCAAGCTCTTCATTCCAATGCCACAAAATAATACATACTTTGTCAGCTTTGAAGAGTCAGTAGCGCATACTTAGGACTAAGTCCTAATAAATGTCTCAGCTCTAACTCTAGGATCTGTTGTCCCATCTTATATTAATAGGGAAGCAATCTATCAAAGTCAGGACCTTCGGCAGTACAAAGACACTCACTACTGAACGATGGATATACGTTTCACGATACCATTCTTCACCTGGGGAGAAAAGCCTGTGTCATGGTCAGTTTTTAGCTTTAATGAACTTACCTAGACTAAGACCACGAGAAGATGCATATAAAACAAATTCCTAGATTCCTTTACATTTTAGAATTACTGAATCAAAAACAGACAGCCAACACCTATGTGTTAAGCATTGCAACTTCATATTTCTTGTTTGAGACCACTATTAGCTAGACCCAGTCAGATATTCTTAACCAATTTTTCCTTATCATTTCGGTATGCTGAGCCCAAGAGATTCTTCTGGTAGAAAACCCCTGGATTCTGACAATATACAGACTTGGCACCTCACTATTCAACCATACTAAATCACATGTGCCAAAGTTAATAAAGACCATAAAGAGGCAGATGAAATACAATAACAATCCAATGCAACTACAGATCTTTCTGAACCAAAGCTAGTGTCTTTGCAGGGCACTGCTGCACTGTGTCACATACATGCCCAGGAAGAATCAAAAATTCCACTATGATGCAACTAGGTTACCAGAGGAACAAACTGTGTTTCACTTAAACCAATAAAACAATTTACCAAAACTTTAAAGCACATATTTTAAATTACTTAACCATCTGCTTCACCATCCAGCCAGGAAAAAAAAAAAAAAGCTACTACCAGAAGCTGGTAAATCAACTTTTTTCTTACCTTCTCTTCTAGAATTCTCACTCTTTTTTTTAAGAAGGAGTTCTCCTTCTCTGTTTCCTTTAGTCGTTTCTTGATATCTTCATATGCAGTGACAAGTGCAAAGTGTGAGGCAACAGATTCATCTCCACTGTAAGATGAAACAGGAATCTCCCCATCTCTCTTATGAGTATTGTCTGCTTTTTCATGGTTCAAAATACAGATGTCATCCTCTACCAACTCCTCCATGACAGCTGTTAAAAAGACAGATATGAGTGCAAAATTTTCACAATGACAAATTCATCAAAAATCTCAAGTCTGAAAACCTTCCAAAATATACTGCAGGGTGTTTCTGTCTAAGTATGGAAAGACTGAATAATCAGGAAATATCTTGATCTTGCAAGAAAAATCTTGAAACCCATTTTACATCAAAAATATGCTAGTTAGAAAAGAAGCATCTTTCACTATCACTTGATAAAATCATTCCGAATATACATTAGATTTATGAACCCCCAAATTCATTTTTTAAGGCTTAGCACCAGCCTAGAATTTGGCTGATACCAAATATTTGAACTTCAAAGGAATATCATACTAGCATTTCTGTAAGTCAGCACTGAGCAGTAAAAGAGATTACAGTTGCAAGAAATTGACTAACTACTGTTGATCCTGAGCACAAGTGCTAAATTCCCTTAATTCTTGAATGCCAATATTTATACTTTTCCCAAACTTTAAAATGGAATCTTAAGGTATACTTGCATTAGTCCTTAAAGAGGCTGCATGGATAGCTAGCTATTCTGCACTTGGTCACAGTGGAAAACATCCTGCTGATGAACAGCAATTACAGTCATTCTTGACTGGAAATATGGTGAGAATGAAAACATACTCAATAATATGATCTGCCTCAACATGTGTGGAGAAAACTGACAGTAATATGACCATAAGAAAAGTATCACCCTAAAATATTAGGCAAATCCACCTGAATGACAAATGCAAAGTAACCATTACACTGAGTTTTTATTACAACACACGTAATCTGGGCACAGCAAAACATTCAATAAGGAAATAGCACCCTTAAAAAAACTCCATATACTTTCTTGAAGTCCAGGTCCTAAGGGAAAAGCCCCAACAGCATTTTCCTTAATGTTACCAGATATCAGGAACAAGTTCAGGGGTTTGATTTAAAAAAACAACCAACCAAACAACCCCCCAAAAATCAAAAGTCAAACCAACCAACCAACCAATGACACAGCTCATTCTTATTTAGTTTTGAAGATCAAGATTCCTTGCATAATGCAATACTAACAAATGCTGTACAGTACCTGGTAACATTTCTCCCCTCCTTTAAACAAACTACTGCTGATGCTACTTCTACCAAAAGCACAGGTTTGTTTTGTTTTGTTTTTTTTCCCATTAAACAAATACTTAAGTTCCTGATGATGGGCTAATAAACCAACAGAAATGCTGGAATGAAGGAAATGTGCCTAGAGAGGGCAGTTTGTATTATAGGAAAAAGTTATTTCAACAGAAAACTGACCTGATTAGCAAAACTTTGCAGGAAAGACTGCCTCTGCTGTGTATTTGCTATTTGAATTCAAACTCCACTTCAATTTGTTTGGTGATACTGAGAGGTAAAGGGATCAACTGCCCTGGAGCTTAGCTGTGTGGTCAAATGTCTCTCATTGCCCTAGCAATGGAAAAGCTACATGGACTGCAGCCTTATGAAGAGCTGCAGCACAGCTGCACCTGAGCAAGGGTGCTGCTATCATTTGTCTCAGTTTGCTCCAAGCCACTTAGACAACGTGATAAAATATAGGGACAGCTTGTTTCTAGTAAATAGACAGCAAGAGAGCTGCAATGGTGAAAAAAGATAAGAAAGCAACAAACCAAAACTGAAGTCCTTTTAATGGTTATTTTCAGGAGGCAAACAGATGCCTTGCTGTGAGAGACTGGACTGGAAGGCATTTGTCCCAGGCTGTTTGTCTCCACGATCGCCCACTCACGAAGATGGCTGCAGAGCCAGGAGGCCACTGGGCTTGCAGAGAAGCCGAGGCCCTGCCCAGCTGTGAGCGGTGGAGCCAGGACCATGCAAAGCAAGTGGACATGTGTGAGGATATGGAGACTGCGAGTATGTGCCATCGTCATAGAAACCACAGCCCCAGGGGATAGGAGAAGAGCTGCTTGTGGTGGTTTGGGTGGATTCACCCT